TGCTTCCCTATGTTCTTTGATCCTGACAATGTCCACAATGTCTGAGTGGTCTTCAGCCTTTCCAATCTCATAACTTTTAACTAGTGATTTCTGTTCTTTTCCTTAGCTAGGGACAGATTTGTTGGCAATATTCAGATTTTCTTTGGGTTTTTTTATGTGTGTTTGAGACAGACCTATAGATATCTTAAAACTATTAAAGTTCATCAGATACTTACAGAAAGTGGCTTGGTACTGTCTCATTTTCACTGCTGCTTTTTAAAGGAGTAACAATAAATCACAAAACAGTAAAGAACTAGTTAATGGGTAATTTGGTACTATTTCAGTATGAAGAGTTTCACTGGCTTAATTTGAGGCCTGAAGAATTCAGAATTTTCAAAGATGGGCATTTAAAATTAATAATAAAATCTAGTAATTTTTAAATGCAGATATCATTTTTGTTCTTCCAAATTATTAGTTTCATTACAGTTCCTACAGCAATCAAGATGAGGAGGTGCTGAAATACGAGGGTGAAAATTTTCACCAGATTTTGCCATCTGTGAGAAACCGAGAAATCACAGATATACCAGCCCTTTACATTTGACAGCACTCACTGCTTCACTGCAGAAGGCATTAAACATAGCATCAGTATGAAAACAAGTTACCAAATTATCTTTTAAGATAGAAGAATAAAAAATAAAGCTGAAATTGCAAAGAATAGAGAAGCATTTAAAACTCTAGTATTTCCTAGCACAGTAGTTACCAGAATGTAATGATTTTTCATCTGCATTAGCTGTGGACAAAAAGGAAGGGGTGGTAAAATTTCTTCCCCCCCCCCCCCCCCCCCCGCACTGTATACAATTTTGGTTTTATATTGCTTAATCACAATTGCTCTTTCTGACCGTAACTCTGATTTATAGGTAGCCACTTACTGCTGAATAGAACAGGTGAGACATGTTTCTTGTCCTTTTTTGATGAGATGGTTGGCTACAAGTATGACAGAAAAAGATAACAGGTTTTTTGGGACTTAGCAGAAAAGTTCTTTTTGTATTCAAGTAAATATATATTATGCATGTTATGAATATCCAAATATATATTAATTTGTTAAATAAAAAGCATTTAGTCCTTGTTTCCTGAAGGAAGCAGGGTATTTTGTAGTTTCAGATTTTGTGTTATTTTGATTTTTGGTCTTCTTAAAATTATTTTTTAAAAAAGGAAAAAGAGAGGTCTCAGGTGCCCAAAGCAGTTATTTGCCTGCAAGGGCCATGTAAAGTGTTCTGCCTGAATTTCCTGAAACTATGAAACAACAAAAAGAAAATGCTTGAAGCAAAGCTGTTACTTCTTGAGAAACTCAGGTAAAGAGACCTAGTCTTAATGATTTAAGTTCCTACAAGTTGAACCATCTGGAAACAAGGAAGCTGCCTACTGCCTATTGTAGTCATAGATACCTTGTAAAGAGATGCCTTGACAACTCTCCACCAGCCTCATCTGTCTCCTGATTACAAAATCACTTGATCTTGCAGGATCAGTTCCACCTCAGCACAGGCTGCTCACCAGGCTGGAGTGGAGCTGCTTTAAGAACTAGAGAAAAGCACATCGGACACTTTGCTGAAACTGCAAATGTCAACACTGATCCCAGAGTAAAAGAATGAAAAGGCTGGTACACTAATATACTTCAAGGATCCTACTTAACAGAACACCACAAACATATAGAGAAAAAAGTAAAAAATTAGTGAAGGAATTAAATTTTTTACTAAGCTAGAGAAGTAAAAACCAGAAATAATTACTAGGAATAAGCTTGCTTGAACAAAGGAAAACAGGATGAAAACCAACACACTTTTCTCTTAGCTGAAATCCATTTTCTTGCTCCCCTGCCTAAGCAAAATCAAGTATTTATGCATCCTATGTGAATATCACAAAACAAAAGTATTGGCCTTTCCAAGACTGGTACTTTCAGCAGTGTTTTTCATTTGCATCAGAGAAATTTTAGTTGGCAGGGAGGAAGACAGGAAGAGGGAAAAAAAGGCCGCAACAGGTGTCTCGCAAAGGGAGGTGAGGTTAACTTAGGGATGGTAATTCTCCTTCACAACAGGCAGCATGTTTGAGCCAAAGCAGTAACTCGCACTTTTTTTGCTCCTATGTCATTACTATAGTTTCCTGCTGCCTCTCCTCAGTTCTTACCTCTACAGCTAATCTCAGTCTTAAATCTGTTTCTTTTAATACCAGAAAGAGGAGAAAGACGGCTGTGGGCTACTGGTAATAGTGACAATTGTCACTTGAAGTCTAGCCTCACAAATTTATCCTCTGTTTTTCTAGATGTTTTGAAACTTCAGTGAGACAACAGTGAAAAGACGGCATTTGTGGAATACAATGGATGTGACACAGTCATTACATACACATACCCAACAAATTTACCAGTAGACTCAGGTTACAAGAAGAGAGTTAATATTCTCTCTTCAGTTTTAGTGCATTTATGGATATTGCTTTTTTTGCAGATCGAATCCCTCTGGTAGCTGGCTACATGCTGTTCATTTCTTAGGAAAGGAAAAAGCCTGTTCATGTGAAAGCCTGCATGTGAAAAGCTACAACAGCAAGAAGAAAGCAAGATAAATAACATCCTTTGCTAATAAATCCCTGCAAAACTAGGCAGCGCAGATATGTCGTTTGTTGATGTCAAACAGTAACCACTGTTAATTTTCAACTTCGAAACAAATACGATCTTAGAAGAAAACTGTGACTATGTTAAATTGCTGCTGCAAGTTATGAACCACAATTTGAAACAGAAAACCCTTGTGAGAAACAGACAGCTCACTGCCACCTTTGCAGTGCTGATGTCTGGTGTCCTACATGTTGAATGATGCTGGAAATAGGAGCAGAACTGTAGCTTATCTCAGGTTACAGCCTGATTTACACAAGGTACCTACCTAAGATAGGAGGAGCATACCTGGCTTACTTTGATGTGGTTGCACTATTAGGAAGCAAAATATATGGTATAAACCAGTAGAAATTCCAGAGCTATTACTGTTGGGTTACAAGACTATCAGGCTATGCCAGGGATCAGACATAGAGCCACCTCTTTTTCCAAAGACTGCTTCATAGATTTTAAAGCCATCATGCCCTCTTTAAGTTTCCTTGGTCTAGCTCTGTAGAAGAACAGCTATATTGTCCTTTTGTTCCTGTGCTGATTCAGTAAATAGAATCCTATAATGGTTTGGGTTGGAAGGGACCTCAAAGATCATCCAGTTCCGATCCCCCTGCATTGGGCAGGGACACTTCCCACTAGACCAGGATGCTCAAAGCCTCTTCTCTGGGCAACTTGTGCCACTGTCTTACCACCTTTAAATAAATAGCATTTGACAAAAAAACACTGCTGCCAAATCTGCTGTAAAGTGAAGAGATGACAGTGAATAAATTTCTGAGAACTAAGATTGCAGCTGATAGCCACAGTCATTGCCCTAATCTATTTCAAGTATGTCCTTCCACGGTGCTTAACTGATTGTAGAGGAATAGATACCTTAAGGTCTAGGAGCTTTAGTCTTTTTCAGAAAACATGGCTGAAACACAAAATTAAAGAGTTAGTGGATGTGAAGGATTAAGTGATTAAACAAGGGCTTCTGTTGAAAAGAACTAGTAAAAAATATAATTTTGGTTCAGGAGAAACACATTAAGAGCCTGTTTTGAACAACACTCTTCCTTATACAATTATCCATGTTTAAACAGAAACGATTAAAATAAATGCTTTGATGTTTTTTATTAATGGATACTTCATTGATCCATCTTTTAAATAATAAAGAATAATCCTCCTCCAATCTCTTCTGGAAACAGTTTTCTGATTTTTTTTTCTATTGTTTTTTTAACTTTAATGATTATTAGTAAAGTAGCTGTAACTTGACAACTCATTAGGAGAAGCTGTATGCATTTCCTGCTAACTTAGAGGAATGACATCTGGGGTTTATTCAGCCACTTGGTTTTGGACCCTGGTGAAAGAAGTTCTCATATACCCCTGCCTCCGTACTTAACATATATAAGATCTAAGTTTGTGGTTTAAATATTCAGGAAAACACAGCTAGTATGTAAATGTGCATTTCTGAATCAAGTCTTCTCATCTGAATAGACTTAACAGTTGAACGTTTCTCATTCAGAGGCTCACTCACCAGCAAAAAAAAACTCAAAAGAAGATTAAACTGACTGAGATTAACTTTGAAAATGCCTGGATTTATACATACATGCACAGTTTACAGCACATTAGTAAGCATTATTTTTAAAATGCCAAAAATGCATCATGTGAAGCAAACTAACTGTGTATGAGAAAGGCAGACTTTTCAGTTCATGTTCAATTCAGTTATGTGTCTCTCAAAACACTATCTACCTGCCTTTGCTTAGCTTCATCTTAAATCCTCAGCTTCTCATTATTTGTGCATCTAATGAGTAACTAAAAGAAACAGTTTTACATATTTAATTTTAAAACATCTATTGCATTACCTACACAAACATTATTCTGTAGATGAATAGCATAGGTCAGCCAAAAGCCTCTATTTATATATTTTTGCACTTGCAGGATTGTCATCTATGTTAAAGAGAGATCTGCAAGTACATGTCCTGAAACAGGGAAATCAAAGGGCAAATTATACTCAGAACAAAGCTGATGACTTCAGTAATCTGTCACACTTCTAAGAAAAGTTTCTGTCTGGTAACATCATCAGAGGTCCAACTCCAGCAACACGTAAGCAAATTGTTTACTTAAAATTACATTAAGAAACGAATCCTTTTTTCTGTATTTCTAAAAATGTCTCTTGGACATCAGTGTGAAACTAAAATTTTTAGGATCCAGCATAGGGATGTTACTTATAAAACAAATTAAGAAATTTAAGATATTCCCCCTCTAGACTCCACAAAGGTGACTTAACGCTAAAAGATGCCCCAAGTTTTGCAGGAGACACTTCCATGCATCTGTGCACAGGTGCAGCTCTTACAGCACCTGATGCACACTGAAGACAGTATGATGAACTTTAATTAATTTCTACCTGCTGTGCCTTGGCACAACTCAAATTCCGTATCACCGTGAGTCAATCTGGGCTGGAGGACAGGGCCCCCTCTGCGAGGGTGAGGCTGGCCAAAGGGCTGTGGTCCTGTGGGCACCCAGCCTGCCTCAGACACATCCAGCCTGGCACAGAGCCCCAATGCTGCCATATGCCGAAGAACCTCTTCAGATCAGGCCTGTACTGTCAGAGACATTTAATCTGAACATCACACTTAACTTTTTGAACCATGTATTTTTACACTACTCATAAAAACCAATGGTGACACTCAAGTACGTACTTGCTCCTACTCCAGCTCCAGCGCTGCCAGAGGCACGGCTGAACTTCACACTTAACTAACCAACACTTCAACTACATAGACTTGCACAAAATATCCCCAGTCATCAACGGCTCAATCCGTTAAACTTAATCCATGCCTTCATAAAAATACATTAAAAAAAAAAAAAAGTTGACAGACTGATGTAAATAAACAGCCAAACATCTCAGTCTGTGACCAAAATTGTCACAGACTATCTTACAAATGATAGGCCTTTTTTTTTTCCTTGGAAGAATGAATTTGGTTATTATGTCCTCAGTTGGCATACCAGAAAAATGTTACATTTAAATGTTAAAGTGCGTGACACTTTCAAAAGTATTTTTCTGTTTTTGCACACTAGGCTGAAGAGCAAGAGAAGACATCCTGGTGACAGACAGGAAGCCAGGCAGGGAGCAGCACATCGCTTAGCACTGCTCCACAGGGCTTCACCCTGTGTGAGAGAGATCTGGTCTCATGCTGCACCTCTGCCAAGGACTGTATTTCACACTGTATGAATTTGATTTTCTCTTCCCCATGAGAACATCACATATTTTTTCAAGATAATATACATTATACTAATATATGCAGAGTCCACCACAACTTACATTCGATACAATTTCTTTTCTATACATATGGAGGGCATAGATAGGGAAAAAAATCCCCATTTATGTAGGTTACAAGGATGTAAGGAGAAGAAAAATGACACGAAGAGAAGAGGAAGGAAGGAAGACTCTAGCAAGTACCAGTGTATATTAATGATCAGATGCCATCCAGTACCACATCTGACCACGTTTGTCTACCACCTCTAACAGCCAATGGGGATTCCAAACTCATTCGTACTCTTATTAATTATCACTGAACATGGTGCTTTATAAAGGATTTTCAGGAAGTTTTAGGATACTCACTCCACTAAAAAAAACATTTGTTTGAATTAATAAAAAAACCACAAAGCTCAGTTACGCATTACAACCGAACAGCAGGAAGTCTTTCCAGTTTTCAAGGATGTGTTTGAAAGCAAGAGAAATTTGGTTGTCAATTGCCAATAGCTATGACCTTGTTATGGAACTTTTCAGGGATTAAAATATCAGCACTGTATATTCAGTCTATTCAAATTTCTTCTTTTATCCTCAGTCACATGAAGTGAAATTATCAGTGACATGAATAGCAACTATGTAAGGAAAAACCTAACAGGACATGGATTATTAAGAAAGTTGAAAGCCACCCTTCTCATGAAAAGATATTCTCTTGCTCTTAATCATGAGATGGTCTTTGCACAGGCTAATTGTATAATATCTTCAAAAACAAGAAGAACTTTTGAAAAGCGCATTTTTAAAGCTGACACTTTCACTATTCTATGCAGAGAGGAAATGGGACTGATGTTATTTGCAATATGAAAAAAATACACAATGAACTTTCTTTCAGAGCAGATTTTCATCTTAGAAGGAAGAGCAGAAGTAAAATTTTACTATCTGTACATAGATATAAACAGATGTAGCTATAAAATATCTAATAAGATAAGCATTATGAAAAAATTGCCAGACATTTAGCAAAATAAAGAAGTTCAGAGAGAGTGGAACATCTATTATGCATAGCTAGAAAGATGCCTGCTTCAATTTGCAGGCCTTCATGTAACCACTCCTAAAATGAGTGCTAAGGGAAAGCGCAGAAATCCTCCCTCCTGATGTACTTCTGGGAGCATAATGGTACTTGAAGAAAATGCTTTCACTAGACTGTGCTGACGAACCCTTTAAGCGATCCCGGTCACAAGAAGTTTCCTTTAATTTCTAATAGCTCATGATGTGTACCTGCGACACACAGGAGGTCCTCAGAGAATAGCAAGGAGGCTGAGCTGGCTGTGGATGACGACATTGCACATGGAGACATGCAAAACACTGCTGTTGGATGTGTATATCACATTTAAGACAAAACCAGGCTGGTGAGGTGCTGATGGTCATTGGACAGCAGAATAAGAGAGGATTTGAGGAGGACACTGGGTTGCTGGACACTGAAAATGGGGAAGGCACTGCCAGTCTCTATATGAGGGAAGGAAAAGAAGGGAGAGGAGGGAGGGAGGGAGGAGAGGGAAGAAAGGGAACAGAGGGAGAAGAGGGAAGAGAGGGAGAAGAGGGAGGAGAGGGAGGAGAGGGAAGGAAGGCAAAGGCAGGCAAGAATGCCAGGAGACCTGCATGGATGAACAAATAGCTCCTGGACACTCTTAGATGAAAAAATAAAGTCTTCAAAGGGTGGAAGCAGGGTCAGGTAACCTGGGAGAAATACAAAGAAGTTGTCCAAGAAGCCAGGAAGCAGGTTAGGAAAGCTAAAGCCCAGATAGTTGAACCTGGCCAGGGACATCAGGGGTAATCAGAAGGGTTTCTACAGGTACATCAGTGATAAGAGATAGCACATGGAAAATGTGGGCATGAGACCTTGTTTGTCATGCATGATATGGAAAACGCTGAGGTACTGAACAACTTTTTTGCCTCAGTCTTCACCAGTAAAGGAAAATCCTGCCTGACAAATTTGGTGGCCTTTTATGATGGGGTCACAGCGTTGGTGGACAAGGGAAGAGCAACTGATGTCATCTACCCAGACCTGTGCAAAGTGTTCAATACTGTCCCACATGAAATCCTGGTCTCAAAATTGAAAGGATGGATGGACCACTCGGTGGATAAGGAATTGGCTGGATGGTCACACTGAGAGAGTAGTGATCAACGGCTCAATGTCCAAATGGAGAACAGTGAATGGTGTTCCTCGGGGGTCGGTACTGGCACTCGTGCTGTTTAACATCTTTGTCAGCGACATGGACAGTGGGATTGAGAGCTGCCTCAGTGTGTTTGCTGACAATACCATGCTGTGTGGTGTGGTTGACACACTGGAGGGAAGGGATGCCATCTGGAGGTACCCTGACAGGCTTGAAAGGTGGGCCCACGTCAGCCTCCTGAAGTTCAACAAGGCCATGTACAAGGTCCTGCAACTGGGTCGGTGCAATCCCAAGCATAAATACAGGCTGAGGAGAGAATGGATTGAGAACAGCCTTGAGGAGAAAGACCTGGGGGTGCCAGTCAATGAGAAGCTCAACAATGTGCACCTGCAGCCCATAAAGACAACCGTGTCCTGTGCTGCACCAAAAGAAGCATGGCCAGCAGGTCGACGGAGGTGATTCTGCCCCTCCACTCCACACTCGTGAGACATCACCTGAAGTACTGTGTCCAGTTCCGTAGCCCTCAACACAGGAAGGACAAAGACCTCTTGGAGCAAGTCCAGAGAAGGGCCATGAAGATGACCAGAGGGCTGGAGCACCTCTCCTACAAAGACAGGCTGAGAGAGTTGGCGCTGTTCAGCCTGGAGAAGAGAAGGTTCCAAGGAGACCTTAGAGTGGCCTTCCATTGTCTGAAGGGATATACAGAGAAGTTGGGGAAGGACTTTTTACAAGGGAATGTAGTGATAGGACAAGGGATAATAGTTTCAAACTGGAAGAGGGGAGATTTAGGTTAGACATTAGGAAGAAATTCTTTAGTGTAATGGCGGTGAGACATTGGAACAGGTCACCTAGGGAGGCTGTGGATGTCCCCTCCCTTTAGTGTTCAAGGCCAGACTGGGCTTTGAGCAACCTGTTCTAGTGGAAGGTGTCCCTGCCCATGGAGGGGGGTTGGAACTAGATAATCTTAAAGGTCCCTTCCAACCCAAACCATTCTATGATTCTATGAAATGCCAACTAATTGCAATCAGTGCTTTATGTAACCAAAATCGGTATCTGGCAAGTTCTTATGAAAGACATACCTGTGGGAAAAGTAAAAAATAATTTTGTAGGCACTTTTAAACATTTCCCTTTTGGTTTGGAGTAGCTGCTTTGGCTTTTTTTTGGTGGAGGCAAATTAATCTGGGAACGTACTTAAAAATCCATAACCTTCAACATAAATGAAAAAAACAAACAAACCCTATCTTACTTTTTTGCTTGTTATTTTATGAAAGATATCATTGCAACTTTCTGTCTCAACCTCAAGGTATAGTTCCCCACACCTTTAGAACTTAAGCTTTGAATGGGCCTAAAAAAAATCCCCACTTAGCTCTGATGGACACTGGGGATTGCTGATGGGGTGGTCTTGATTCAGGATGTAGGACATATGCAATATAGATAGGAAGGGAGCATTTTTTTACAGTGAAGACTTACTTGGCTGTTGGAAGATGCCTGGCAGGCAAGCTCTTCCCCCTCTATCATGGTTCCTTGACTCTCTCCTGCCTGGCTCACCATTAATGTCATGGTTTGAGCCCAACACGACCACCCCTCCTGGCACTCCCAGGGAATGTTCCACCACGTTCGTTCACGAGTGCAGGGGGATAGCCTGACATCTCGCCATGGGTTGCAGGGAAATTTCTGCTTGGGCACCTTCTTCCCTTTCTTCCTCACCAACCACCAGCACCACTCTCCTTCCCCAGCACAGCTCTTCTCCCCGAGGTGCTTCTCTGCTCAGGTATTAACGTTAACTCTTTCGTATGTTAATCGCAGAGGCGGATCTATTGTCTCTTTGGCTCTTTGGCCGGGTTTTGGAGCACTAGGAGCTTCTCAGCTTCTTACCCGAGCCACTTCTGTGGCCCTTCCCCTGCTACCAAAAAAACCGCTAAACCAGCACACCCTCTTAAAGGTCCCAAACACCGAGGCCACACTCCTTAAACTCGCTGCGTGGTACCCCCACGTAGCTCCACTGCTTTACATTTCCTCCCTGAAAGAGCTGCTGACTCCTTTCCCTCCTCCCAGCAGAGAACCACGCAAAGGTCAGGCAAAAGCCTTTGAGATTAAATTATAAGTGATTAAAATTTCCATTATTTTGTGAACTTGTTCCACATATTAAAGAGCC